TTGGTTGATTAGATAATTGCATTAATGAGAAATTGAACAGGTGTTCCTAATAATCCTTTAGGTGAGTGTATATAGGTAACACTTTACATGACAGAGCACAAATACTCAGTAATAACTCAGTTACGACTGCAGCACAAATCATGAACAAATACAGTTGCTACTTGAGATAAGATGCGTCACAATTCATTAATCATGAACAAACACGAGTATTTCACTTGTTATTCATTACTTGTTCCTTCAGTAGCTCACAAAGGTTTACAAAATTAAATATATTAACTGCTTGGGATAAAACATGCGTCACGATTCATTAATGAAGAATTAACATGAAATCAGTATTAACCAGGATTAACTGTGTTTTATACATAAATAATAGCATAATACTATATTATTTGTGGCCTGTCAACACCTGTGTGACCAATAAATGCATATACAGAAAGAGATGAAAAAAACTGGAAAATGGCAAATACCGCACCGAAAATAGAGATGATAACAGCAAGACAACATTGGGGGTCGAGCCGTTTGGGATTGAAAAACCTGGTCTGACGGACACTTTAAATAGAGCGCGTGAAGACAGAAGTGTGTACAAAGGTCAGCGTGACACCTGAAACTCACAGCTCCATCTGCCAGGCAGCTGCATGATGAAAGAGAGCGAATCACCATCCAGGGTTACTCTGCCGTACCTCTGAGGTATCCCACTTACCCCCGAGGTCGCAAGTCGGAGCTGGGAATGACATCACACCCGAGTTTAACCGCGTTCCAGTACAGCAAGTCGGGGAGCCATGTAGCAATACCAGGGACCGGTCTCAAAAAACGGGATTTCTTGTTTAGCTGGACAACTTCTTGGATTTACGATACCCCAGTTTAAATGACCTTTACCTTTGTTCGCTTACATTTAGAACACACTACCTTAAATCCGACCAGTTATCCGGCTAAAGAAGAAATCCTGCTTTCTGTAACAGGCCCCAGTTCTATCTCGGTTCATTTTAGCCATTAAATTGTTTGCCCTTTTTAGCATTATCAGTTGATAATACATTATGCGGCATTTCGCACATAAAATCACCGCAGCAACACGTCCACAGATAGCGGTTGAGCAGTACTGTGTGTACGACCGATTTAATGAGACACAAATAAGACATAAGTGCTAATAAACAGTATATAACTACAGCCTTCACTTCTGTTGATAAAGGTTGCAGCCATCTTGAAATCTGAGGTCGGAGTTGCAGTGGCTCCTCTGACTTTCCGAGTTGGAAGTCTGACTTCAGGGAGCGTTCCAGTTTAAACATGGAACTCGGAATTTCAGCATTAGACTAACTAACACAGCATTAGATGCAGACCAATGGCATCCCTGCACTTACAAATAATGGATGGATCCACTAAAACATAGATTAATTTTGCAGAGCAAATGCTCCTCCATTCAGCTCACTCACCTCATCTGTCCCTGACGATCCTGGAATTCTTGACGGGGCAGGACCACCCCTGGGCTGGAGTAGACCGCCACAGGCATGCGGAACTCCAGATAGGCCGTCTGCAGCCACCACTCAGACAACTGCACAGACCAGGGTCAGAGAGGGGTTCAGGGCGGGATTTCAGAAGCGAAAACACATGCATGTAAACCATATAAAAAAGGACCTGGGAATTCCAAAATCTGGGAAAACGACACATTTAGACAAGGATACCTCACACATTCTCATTAATCATAATACTTGCTTAATACAAAGCAAGAATAATATGGTTCATTGGTCGAGTGCATGATTGTTGCTTTGAGGTTGAGGAGTCCTGGGTTCAAATCTCCCTCAAGCTCATTTTATGGAGCAGTGTGTTGCTCAGTGGACTTCAGGTCTGTGCCCATATCATGGGTTTCAATCCTGCACCCAGCAAACTAATCATTTGACCAAGACCCTAAAGCCCCACCTGCTACAGGAGCACATTACAAAGTCAAAGTAACTTTATTGTCATCAGCTATATTATGCATGCATTATACACTGAGATGGAATTTCTATTTCAGTCGTTGGAGTGCAAAGAAACAGCAATAAACAGAACATACATATGTGAGATGTATTTAGACAAGACATATTCAGACATGGACATAAGACATTAAAATACACTCTAAAATACCGTTTAAAAATATCAGTTGTGCAAATGGGCACAGTGGGTACAGTGGTTGACCCTGCGCTCTATGTCTGCCGTGTAGTGGCAGATTCACACACAGTGATGACTTATTTGCCCCTCGGCAGTGGCTAGCCGGGCGCCCTCGTACCCAGTTGTCCGTCTTGCGCGCCCTGCGCTCCAGCCCCTTCTGCAGCCGCTCCCCGACGCCGCCCGCCCGCGCAAACTCCTCCACCAGCTGGCGCGTGTGCTGCAGCTCCTCCTCGCTAACGATGGGCTCCAGCACGGCCAGGTAGCGCTCGCACGTCTGCTGCAGCGGCGGCACCGGCAGTTTGGGCAGGACCTCCTGGCGGAGCAGGCAGCGGCCCGGAACCCGCGCCGCCAGCACCGGCTTCAGCAGCCGGCCGGACCTCGCAACGACCGGCAGAGCCTGTGGAAACGAGACGTATAGAGTCACTGATAAAGTAGGACACAAATTATTTGATTTTGTTAACATAAGCGTACTAACATAACTGCACATTTGTGTTCATTACATATTCATTCGTTTAGAAAAATTTTGCTAAACTTAGTATATTGGGGAAAAGGCGTAGGTACATCAATGTCGTCATCATCACGTGACAATTGGGGCCCGTGTGAACTTGAAAGAACACAACCGCTGATACATAGTAAAATTTGAGCTTCGATCGCATCAGCGCTGCTAAACTGTTTATTTACAGCTTTTTGGTTTGCTATGTTTTCTGCTACGCTGAAGACTACACATGGTACAGCAGTGGGACGGATCAGACATACAGCGTGTATTTGCAAGCTATCATCAGACACGAAACGCCACTCCATGAAAAACGTTTCATTACACATCTGATACGCGTTATTTAGCTACGGCGCAACAAGAGAGACAAGAAACCAGCTGTCACGCACGCAATGGGGAGAGCAGACACGAAGTTACCGATTAAAGAGCAGAAATCTGCTACTGTCACGGTATAAAATGGACGGTATCATCGAATAACGGCACTGTCCAAGTAAACGTAAACAACCGAATCTCGCCTTTTGAAACTGTACACCCTGTTGAAAATGCACGAGTCATGTAATGTAATGAAATACTATTTCCACTCACCATCGTTTTTGCCAGCAATCCCAGCATGTTTCCACAAAGCATGGCCCTAAAATCAAGGCTCGATCTTCGTGCTAGAAACAAAGTCCTTCGTCGATCCAAGGACGCGCGCGGCAGGCACTACTTTTCCCCTGCGCAGGATTCGGCTGCTCCTCCCCCCGGCCCCTTTCTGTCCGTTTCCAGCCGGGTTACACTCCCCGGGACCACAACAAATGCTCATAGAGGCAATAAGGTCATTTCGTCCGGCTCCTTGCTTTTCGCATCGTTATAACTTGCACTTTCTCAAGTTATTTTAAACAGACAAATGTTATGCTGACTTTAAACCTGACATTCTGCTGCGATCTTTCGTCATGAACCAAATAAAACAGGTTTGTTGGCAGACTAGTAACGTGGTGCAGCTGATATTAAACATCTCAACTTATATACGTATCCCTGTTTGAATGTGCTTGCACCTTACATAAAGCATAAATCTCCAGTTCAGGTGGTATTAACCTGCATCATCTGAACACTCTTTGATGGGGAGTTTCTTGAAGCAAACTCGCTTAACAGCACAATTCACATGTCCATCCATCCAACTTCCAACTGTTTGGCCACTATAGGGTCACGTGGAAAATTCATACGTGCTTTAGTTAAATGTAGTGATTCTGAAATTAAATTAACCATGTACTTGTCAGCAGTCAGCATGGTAGACAGTGAGTAGCAGCTTACTATCATCAAAACTATTAATAGTCATGAAAATTTTTAAATGAGTTGTCCAAATCTCACAATTTACCTGAATGCAGAGATTTCAAGGTTGTCAGTTTGGTCCAGGTTTTCCTTGCACGTTACGGTGCGCTATTTTTAGGTTGCTGACGTCACATGGTTACAGACAGGCGGGCACCCTGTTGACTCAGCTCAAAAATGATAGATGAAAGTAGCTGGATTTTCGTGTCACAGCTGTTGGGGAAACTGCTGCCAAGTTGTTTAGATCCAAGATCACTGCAGGATCCTTAAAAAAGCCGTTTACAAACCAAAGCGGATAGACACTATTGAATCCTAACTGAGAAGAAGGTGTTCTTTGAGTGAAAGCATTCCAGCGTCTCTGTTCATTGTATTTGTTTGGTAGCATGATTATCATTGCAGCACACAGTGTTAGCTGCCTAAAACACATATTCTGGTATAATTTTGCAACAATAAGCGTCTACTACATGGTGACGTCATGCATACAAATCGTTATCTGTAATATCAAGCGCCCTACTTTGGGCAAATATGCTGGGTAAGGCACTATATAGCAAACGGAACATTTTTTAAATTAACTGAATCAAATTAAAAATAAATATTCACATTATGGTGCCAGAACAACAGCCTGTGTATGCCTGAGGTTGTACTTTTTCAAGGTTCCCGCATCAAATTGCATCTTATTATGTTGATTTGGTAGCTTAGTGGTGCTAATATCCATGAGATCATTTCTATCTACCTTGTTTTGAAAGGTTTAATTGCTTTTCAGTAATGGATCAATGACTTAATTATTTAATTGATAATGTAAATTCGGGTACAGCAGTGGTTCAGATATATCTACCTCCATCCCATTTTCCAATAAGACCATTTCTGCTTCACTGAATTGCCAAATAAGTTTCCTTCCTTTCCTTTGGGATGATGTTTCCAAGACAGAATTGTATTCAAAAAATGGTTATATTGACAAAACCCAAAATAATGATCCCATGAGAAAATGGTACACTTCATGCTGTGAAGATGTGGTGTTGGGTCTTCTGCCGGTCAGTCATCTTCAACAGAAAAGTCTCTGAGTACCCAGGCATGCAGTGACTAGGAATCCAGCCCAGCTGCCTCATTGGTGTCTATCAAGTGTTGAGGAGTAGCAGGAATATCTGAAGAGGAAAGCCCAGCAGCTCCCCTGTCATGGGGGGAGGGGGTCTGGGATGCATGTGACAGCTCCAGCCACTTTTTCTGCTCAAGGTTACCTGAATCTTGTTTCAGGCAGCATAGAGATCGGGACAGGGGCTGCTGTTTGGATGCAATACACATGTACAATTTATAGACTGTGATTAGCCAACCTGCATGACTTTGGGCTTCTGGAAGAAACAGTCATGACCACACACAGAGTAAAGGCAGGATTCAAACCCCCAACCTTGGACATATGAAGCAACAGTCATAGCCACTGAACCACCATTACCTGGTTAGCATTATCAGTTTTTCAACCTTATTTTTGTCTCACGTCCTTATATAATTGCTGATTGCACGTTTAGGGTTTCAATAATTTTCTTGGTTTCGTGCCGTGTTACTGGTCTTTGGGCCTCGCTGTTGACCGCCAGTGACAGAAAAAGCACATGTCGCACTGCTCCACATGAGGGCGCCATACGCCTAACCGCAATAGAGAGAATCGGACGCTGTAGGGTTTAATTCTCTCCCTCTTTTCATTAAACTAGACGTGTCACGTGCGCAAAATTCATAGGTATTTTCCTTTCCCAACTTCATTTTTCCGACACGGTGTTGCCTGAGCCGTCTTAACTTTGAGTTGGTAACCATGAACTTTGAATTTTTCTTAATTATGCTGACATTTTTAAGCCTCCCTTAAGACTATTTTCCATATCGAAATTGCAATGCAGTCAGCAGCAAAATGGTTCGTGTGTGTAATTCATCTCTTTGATTACACGAAGTGAGGTGGTATTCATTATTAAACGGGCTTAGTATACAGGCTGAGTTCAATACCCTGACAAATGGTTTCAGCAATTCTTTATTCTAATTATCCCAGCACTAGCCTCTGTAATCCCTTGATTGCCCGGTTTGCATTTCTTTTAGACTGACTTCCACTCCAAGGGTGTTATGGTGATTTTTAAATGTTGGTCACCTGTACTACTGCAGATACTCCAGACGTAATAATTAAGTAATTCTGTGAAAATCCGAATTATCATGCGCTTGCTGTCCACGTAGAACACTTGTCGGTGATGTTCTCATTAAATTAAACGCCGAACTTAAGAGCGCAATAGAGAACGTTTCCGATATAACGGCAGTTAAAGTTAAGTAAATGTAATGTCTTTGTATCATTATATTGCGCAATAATCACTTGTAAGGTATTATTTTCCGATTATTTTGAAGCTCTCTTTTTGTATTTTTGTATCAACCGCCCTGAAAAATAATTATTCTAAATCCATTTAGCGATTTCGCCGCTTATTTTCGTAGGCCTATATATTTCGTAACTCCCCGCTCAGCAAATTTAATTGTGGGGACCCGGGGACCCCTGGTGTGTGTGTGTGTGTGTGTGTGTCGGGGGGTGGATTAGGTTCATATTACTTTGTGGGGACCAAATGTCTACTATAGATTAGCAGTGACGTGCTGACCCCTTCACTTTGAAATCATCGAAGCATTAGAGAGCATCTTAACCGTGTCGGTGCGCACCTCCGTTAACGTGGAGCTCGTCGCACCTCCAAGGCGCCGCCGTGTTCAGTTCGGGGGGGGGGGGTCTGAGCTGTAGGCGGCCATGCACCGCTCAGGGCACAGATGGCGGAGTTAATACGTGTCTGCAGTGCGCATCTCTTTTCGACACAAACACTAGCCATTTGTCATAATGTTAAAAGCTTTTTTTCTTACTCGTACTTATATTGACGTGGGTAGTGCTTTTTGTCAGACGAATTAAGACAAAAGTGTGATAGTGTGAAATGTAAAATCACTGTGCTTGAAATGCAAGATACTGCTTCACTGCACCAATTAGGAGAACACGGTGACCGCGAGGTCCCGTTAAGACGGCTTTCCGGGAGCTGAGCGGCATCCGCGGCCGATCAGGCGGCTTGTTTTCGTTTTTATTTTTCGTGTAGCAGCCCATCGCCATCTGCTTTGAATGCTTTATGAACTGATGTGGGTTTCCGTTTTCTTGCAGCGTTTCTGTCCCATCCTTGTACCATCTGCTTCTCTGAGATATCACGCTGTCTGGCTGTCAGACACCTCGCTCGCAACCACCGCTCTTTAAGTGCCTTTACCTTGTGAGCATTTACGTTAATTCGGCAGCATTTCATTTTCTAAATGCTTAAAAAGGGAAAAAAACACTTGAAGGGAGGACATTTAGTTAGCTACTTTAAGTGGTATTTTCAATATGCACATTTTAACGCGTAATTGCACAGGTATTGTAAGTCTCTCTGTAAACGTTAAAAAAAAAGTATGTCCACTTTACCTTCTATTGCCCGGGGCAGGGAGGGACTTGCTCATCTAATTCTTTTCGACAAGGACAAGAAGATGCATATTCTTTGCAGGTAACTATAAGCTAAAGAGAACTTCTCATGCCCCATTGAGAGAAAAAATAAGTTGTTTGTTATACTGCCAGTTAGTAGACATTTTAATTAAACACGTTAAGATTTATGCGAGCTTTGTGTTTCCCGGAGGCAGGCCTGCTGCACCACCAGAAAGGGTCAGGCCATGTCCTGTTGGATTTGATCCTAAGGTTTGGCCATTTAATGTTTTTCTAATTACACCAGTCCCTTATTTCCTCATACTTGTCATGCCAGTTCAGTTGACAGTTGCTTTTATCAATGTTTAACTAAGCTCTTTTTTTTTTCTTTGCTAAACCTGCGATATTAGCCTGACAAAGAAAAACATTACCATGTTTCTTGTTTTTACTTTAGAAAGAATATAAACGTTTATATAAGAATATGAAAGTTTGCAGGCACCTTTAACCTTTATTTAAGCTTTTATTTTGCCTCCTGCAAGGGCGTAACTTTGGCTGTAACATAGGGTTGGTTGAGGTCTCCACCCATTACGGGGGAAACATGATTATTGGGGGGGTTGTATTAGCTGGTTTTGATTTATTGGGGGGGGGGCTACAACCCCCCCATCCCCCCCATAATTTACGCCCATGGCCTCCTGGCTCTCTGTCACAATCTTGTCCCCGTCTCTGTCATGCTTGAGTCCGACTCGGTCATCTGCTTCAGGTCACGCTGGTGGCTGCAGTCCACTACACCTTCAGAGTCCGTGCAAGTCAGCGTTACACAAACCGCCGCCCCCCTACTACAGAGTTTGTAACTCTTTGGTGGTGCATGGTGTCATCCACCTGGAAACGACAGGACAGTGCTTTAAGTATGTAAATGTGCCTCATTTTGTTTTATATAATGTCAGTAAAAATGATCAGTCTTAATGATAATGGAGTCCAAAGTGGTGTCTTGGCTCATCTACAGGGAGAGTGATGAAAAAAAGCAGATCATATGCGATTTGATTTTAATACATGAATAAGCATCTGCATTTGCTCAGTACCGGTCAGCCTCTGAGTCCCGTCATCAGGTAAGGGGGTTAGGACACTGTCACATAAC